CGACCTGAAGCGCGGGGAGGGGGGGGTCCTGGCTGTGGGAGCAAGGTGGAAGCCAGGAAATTGGGGGAGCAGGGAAATCAAATGACCCCCCACAAAATAACCCCTTCAAGCACAGCAGGCAACAATAAAAATAAAATATGTGTCAGAGTTTTAAGCCTCCCTGCAGTGTTGGCCGCGGTCAGGGCTGGGGTTGTGACTGGGGCACCACTGCTCCTGCTGGGGCCAGAGCCAGAGGTGCTTGGCCACAGGGTCTTGCCCCAACACTCGGGTGTTGACAGGTCAGACCTGTCACTGCTGTCTTTGGGGTCAGGAAGGAATTTGACCAGGAATTTGGTCAGATGGGTTTTTTTGCCTTCCTCTGAAGTGAGGCTGTGGCCGCTTACCTGGGGTCCCCTGAGCAAATGTTGACAGCACTTCATAGAAGCAAGATGCTGGCTGCTGTGGTTCCCTTGCTTGGATAAGGATGTTCCTGCCTCAGGGGGCTGGACTACATGACCTCTGGAGGTCCCTTTCAGCCTTGCTTCTGTGGGACTAAAAGTGACAAGTGCTATGCTGGGGTCCTGATCGGGCCTCCTCCCCTTCCCACCCAAATAGCTGCAAAACTTTGGGGTGTTTTCTTTTTCTTCGTTTTCTCAGAGAAGAAAAGTGCTGGCAACTCTGAACGGCCACACCGACCGCGTCAACTGCGTGCAGTGGATTTGCAGAAGAGACGGCAGTGAGTAATATTCCTTTCCTTCCCCCTGCTGAATTTTTCAACACCATTTTGTTCCCTGTTGGCACAGTGTCTCTTCTCCGTGGGCTTGTGTGGAGCTCCTGAACCTTGGGCGCCTCAGCTCTGGCTCTTGTCCATGTAACAACACGATGCAGTTGGCTTCCTAGATTGTATCGACTTTGAAAGGTCCCACTCAGTTTTAGGGTATAACCGTGGTTTGATGTGATCTGCGAAAAATCTTGTCTCCTACCTGTGAATTGGAAATGTATCCACACATACAGAGGCATTAAAAAGGACTTCTTTTCAGCACTTAGGGTTTGTTACTGTTGCAGAGTTAACTCAAAAGATTGGGACCTGCGCTACTAGCCTAGCTCTGTCATGTGTGACCACACTGCAAAGCCATACTTGAGTTCCTTGAGTTACTGGTACTCTCTGCTCACTTGTGTGAGGTGCTGGATCTGACACACATCACGAGTGTCAGATACACCTGGGACCCTGGCTGGATCCAGCTCACAGGGCTCCTCACAGGCCAGATCCATCCCAGGGCATGGGGATGGGCACTGTGGTAGCAGCAGTGAGAAGGCTGGAGATGGCATTGGGGTCTGGAGGCAGGGGTCTGAGGGCAGAAGTGGGTAGAGGAACAGCAGCCTCTTCTCATAAGTCATTTTTCCCAGAACTCTAACCTACCTTCTGACTATGAGGGTGGTCAAGCATTTGGACCAGCTGCTTAGAGAAGTTTTGGAATCTCCATCCCTGGCACCATGTCTTGTTTCTGTGGTGGTAGCCAAATGTTTGGGATGTCATGCTTTTTTCTACCGGGTCCTCAAGTGGCTTGTATGTGTGCTGGTTCCAGGACAGGGGAGAGGAGGTGGTTTGTGAACCCAGTCTGGCATGTGGGACTGATCCTGTACCATTCATTTGGCCCATGGACTGGTGCTGCACCACTCACCTGGCACACAGGGCAAGGCAGGTTTGACACTCCTGCCCTAACCTGTTCTTGCCCTACTGTAGGCTGCCTATCTCCTCCTTTGTCCTCACAGCCACTGCACTTGTTATCTGATAGCGGGTATTTGTGGAGACTGAAATAAAAAAGGCATTTTATACTTCACCCTTCTCCCCATCATCCATTACTAGATTGTCTTCTGCGTTTAGTGAGGGACCTGCACTTTCTTTCTTTGGTGTTCCACTTATTTGTGACACACTTGTAAAATCCTTTTTTATTATCTTTAACATTTGTTGCTAGTTTCATTGCAAATCATACCTTGACCTTCCTGATTTCCACCCCTTCCCTCCCCTGTGTACCCATACACTCTTCCCTAGCAATATGGCCAAGTCTCCACTTTTCTTAGGATCCCTTTTTGTCTCCATTGTTCACTCTTTAGCTAGACCAATTTCCTGGTGCACTTCCTATCCTTTCTATGCTTTGGGATATCTTTGGTGTCTGCAGAATTAAATTAGAGGAATTTTACCTTCTGTACATTCTAAATCATGAGATGAATTTTGGTTGTTTGGTAACCAAAATAACACTGATTTTTATAACAGCAATCAAAATAAGGAAGAGATCATACAACATTAACTTGGTAAAATTATTTTTCTTCAGCTGCTGAGACAGAATTAATTTCTGGAGGAACTGATAAACTACTCATTGTTTGGGAAATACAGAATATTCAGGTAGGCCAAAATTATTTTCTGTTTTTAATTGTTTTTTTTTAATTTTTAAAGAAAAATATCTGTGAAACATTTAAGTGCAATTACTTAGAACATACCTCTGAATTTCTTATTTATAGCGTATCTTATCTGGCTGTAGCATCTCCTGTCTTCTCTTTCTGAAGTCCTGCATAAGCATAAATTTGTTCTGCTCTGCCACATAACTACATCTAATATTCTTATGTATTTTTGTTCCTATTCTTTTAGTGATCCATTTCAAAACAGTCATCTAAAAATTTCATTGTTTTGTCTAGGTGCCTCAAATGATAATTTTTCCTCATTTCGGACTTCATAAAGCATTTACTACCTTTTAAAAATCTTTTTCTTCTTATTTGAAGCGTTCTTTTCTATAGCTTTATCCAGCTGAAACCTTGTGCCTTTATTTACCTTTGTCTACCATAAGTATGTTGAAACATGCATGACCATGGGTGTAGGGCTTTGATCAGAACATACCATGTATTTCTCACTTTCTCAGGAAAGCGCTTAATTTACAAAAAATATCTAAAGCAGATTCGGAAGGAACTTGACAGTTTGCACACACATGGCCTACTTTTTCATTTTCTATGGAAATCTCAATTTTTTTTTTTTTCTTCAAGAATTGGAGCCATATGAAAATGAAATTGAAAGAATGGTCTGCTATAGAACCTTTCCTTTAGTTAGCCAGGATGAATGTTCTCCATGACAGAGATCAAAGCCTAAGCTAGATATGAGACATGGCTGATGAAACATTTTATTGCTTTTCTTTTTAGAACTTTGTAACCAAATATCCAGATTTCTAACCTAAACACATATTTATGAAAGAGGTTGTTAGAGATTTTTTTGCATCACAATAGTAAAAAAAAAAAAAAAAAAAAAAAAAAAAAAAAAAAAAATTAAAAAAAATTGGGAATAAAGTTATGGAAGTTAGTAGTTGAGTACAGAACTCTTTAAAATGTGCATTGTGTTCAGCCCATCTAGTATCAGTTATGCATGTTTAATATATTTTAGGTAGTTTTTTAAAAACATTGTAATAGGCTGTGTATTGTAGAAAACGTCGTCATGTATATCTGCATCAGAGGTTGAGTATAGGACACTGAACCTAATAAATTACGTAAACGTGGTCTTGTTTTATCAGTTTATGCCTTTATAATAATCTGTTCCTCAAATTAAAAAAAAAAAGTGAACATGTATATGTTCTGGCTCTGACTTCATAACATTTTTGCTTATCCCTTAAAAAAAAGGGAAGTTTTTAAAAGGTAACGTTTGATTAGCAAAAAATTGTAGTAAGCCTCTCTTACAGAGTAGTTTTAAGCTAAAACATATTCAGCTCATTACTCCTTGTCTCTGTCAGTAATATACGCCACTTTCTGATGAGCCTTATGGAAAGGAAATTGTCTTTGACAAATTGTATATGTATCATTACCTAGCTTCCTATAGTGATCTCTTACTATGACATCTGTAGTTTTGGAAGGACTGTCTTAAGGAGTAAGAGAGGACAGAACGACTGTCTTAAGAGGTAACCAAGTTACCTCTTTCTCTCTCCTTTTTATTTTGTCTAAATACTTCATAGAACTGTCTCATCAAGCTGTCTCACATACATTCTTGGTATGCATACTTACCCCTTTTTCAGTGTTTTCGTACTTTTTTCATATTTTCAGTGTCATACCTGTTTTGAAACTTTCTGACTGTCATTGTCTGTTTTCTAGAAACTGCGCATCTTTAAAACAAAATTCACATTTTCAGTCGACTATAACTATATAGTTTCTATAATCTTGCAATATTTTTTCATGTTCAGCTTGTGAAATGCATTCACTTGGAAGGCCACACAGATGCTGTTTGTGCTGTAGATGCTTTGTACCAGACAGATGAGTTAAATCTGCTAATAGCTTCTGCAGCATCTGACTCGACTGTCAGAATCTGGACTAAGAAGGGGTCAGAAGGTAAGTTTCCATACTGTTTATAATGACTTATTCACTATTTGTAAAAAGAGGTGAAAATATACATATTCGAATACAGTACCTACACTACAGTCTCTGAAGAACCTCTTCTAAGAGTGAGCTGGGTTTTATTTTTCAAGAAAAATCAATTGTTTAATAAGCTTTAAACAATGTTTATGGTGATATCTTTTACTGGACCAATTGTGTAGTTGGGAGAGATGTTAGACAAGCTTTCAGGCACAGAGGTACCTAAAGAAGGGTGCTGTGCCTGAAAGCTTGTTTAACATATTTCTTAACTACAACATTGGTCCAGTAAAAGAGATCACCAAAAGAATCCCCTTGCTTCTCTCATTTCCTGAAACATCAAAGTTACAACAACACTTCAGCCTTAATAAGCTTCAGTAAGTTAGCTCAGTATCAACTCACTGAAGGCGAGGCATTACATAGGAGTAACTCACAGTGCAGAGCCCCTGTCATTTATGAAGAATACAGTCTGTCATGACTATCAGCCCCGGCAGAATTTGCAAGGATGGCAGTTGGATTCCCTTCTCACATGCTGAACTGCAGGATATTTCCTGTTCCCTGGATTGTGGAGGCAGATCCATGTATGCGGCTACATACAGGGCTAGGACTGCCCCTTCTTGAAATCCTTCAGGGTTTGTTGCCTGTTTGCTTATGCAGGCAGCAGATCAGGGCCCTGTACCTGAAACAAGGATATAGAGTAACATGTATATGTAGGGGTCTACTTTGGGGGTCTTTAAGAGGAGGCTAGACATGCACCTGGCTGGGATCGTCTGACCTCAGCACTGTTTCCCGCCCAGGGCAGGGAGTCGGACTTGATGATCTGCTAAGGTCCCTTCCAACCCAAACATCTATGAATCTAGGGCAGTTCTCCCCCTACCTTGTTTTCATGCTGGTCCAGAATGCTACCCTCTGTCTTCCAACAAGTCTGTGTGTGTACTGCAGGTGGTGTGGGCTGTAAAACAGAATCTAGTTGCCCTGGCCCCTTTCCACCCATGCCTCTGGGCCATCTGCTGCTGTGTTCAGTGAAATCCTGTATATATAAAGGGGATGTACACATATTCTGAGGTGCATACAAAGTTGGGGGTAGGCCTGTTGAAAGCCTCTGGGTAAAAGTTGGAAG